CCATCAGCCAGCTCCCAAATAAAGACATGGAGACTTGTTATTAATTGTGAATGCTTGGCCTTAGCTTAGGCTTGTCCCACTAGTTCTTTTAACTTAACCTGTTTCTATTCATCTATGTTTTGCCTCGGGGCTTTTTTTTTTTTTTTTTTTTTTTGGTTTTTCGAGACAGGGTTTCTCTGTGTAGCTTTGCGCCTTTCCTGGGACTCACTTTGGAGACCAGGCTGGCCTCGAACTCACAGAGATCCGCCTGGCTCTGCCTCCCAAGTGCTGGGATTAAAGGCATGCGCCACCACCGCCCGGCTTTTGCCTCGGGGCTTTTTACCTGTTTTTCATTCTGTGTGTCCTACTTTCCTGCTTCCTCTGTGTATAGGTAGCTGGCCTTTGGGGTTTCCCTGTCATCTCCCTTTCTTCCCTCTTTTTTCAGCCTAAATTCCTCCTCCTCCTACTTACTCTCCCTGCCTGGAAGCTCTGCCTATGCCTTTTCCCTCGCTATTGGCTGTTCAGCTTTTTATTGGACCAATCAGGTACCTTAGGCAGGCAAGATAAAACAGTAAGACATCTTTTTTTTTTTTTTTTTTTTTTGTATTTTCGAGACAAGGTTTCTCTGTGTAGCTTTGGAGCCTTTCCTGGAACTCACTCTGCAGCCTAGGCTGGCCTCAAACTCACATAGATCCACCTGCCTCTGCCTCCCAAGTGCTGGGATTAAAAGCATGTGCCACCACTGTCTGGCTCAGTAACACATTTTTACATAATTAAACAAATGCAACATATCTTTGCATAGTTAAACAAATATTCTGCAACAATATTAACTACAAAGAAGTAAGGAGGCCCTGTGCTGGGTGTAAGAGCCCATTATCAGTGGAGTAAGGGGGTAGGTAGGGGTCATAACTACAAGTAACTGATGACTTTGGTCAGGAATAGTCTAGAAGCCTAACATGAAAGAATTTCCTAGATTAGGTTGGATCATGTAGAATGTTGATGGAATAAGAGAGGAGAGCTTGCAAAATTATACCCCAAAACTCAAGAGGTGAGAGAGAGAGAGAGAGAGAGCGAGAGCGCCTTGGTTACCTGTTAGGGTCTAGAGGTTCTTGTGATGGTAAATCTTTATTGTCAATTAGGCTGGGCTTAGAATCACATAGAAACACACCCCTGGGTATGATTATGAGGGTGTTTTCAGGAAAGAACCTCTTTGAACGTGGGTGTCTTGAGTGAATAAAAAGGAAGGAGCTAGCTGAACACCAGCATTCATCTGTCTTTGTTTCCTGGTCGTGGACATCCCATGAGCAGCTGCCTCACCCTCCTGTTGCCATGACTCCCCTATCATGATGGACTGTATCCTCAAATCCTGAGCCAAAACAGACTTTTCCTTCTTCAAGTTGCTTTTCTCGGGTATTTTTTCACAGTAAAGGAGAAAATGAATAGTGATTGAAAGTAGGTTTCTCATGGGTCTCAGTGGAAGGAGAGATGGAGATCTCGGAGAGGCTCAGGGAGTAGGCCCTTGGAGCTTGCAGGGATGGAGTTATCTCTCAGCTCTGAGCGGGTGAACCCACGATGCTAGACCCTGTAGCATGACTACAGTTAGAGACATGAGTAGGACTTGGTGAGGTTTAACCCAAACAGCTTCAGATAGTCTATGATTTTGTGTAGGGTTTTTAAAATAAACCCACCCCCCTGGATTAATACAAGGATAAAATCTGGACAAAGTAAGGTCAAGCTTGAGGCTTCATATACCCTGGGAGTCCATGATGGCTTTGATCGCCTGTGCCCAGAATACAGTATTCTGAGATTGATAATGAGCCTCAGAATTTAATGAGGGAGAAGTCAGCCCGGAGAAAGGATGTACCGTAAAGACCTCTGAAAGAGTCGAGAGGAGTGGTAGTCTTGGGGGTGCTTTGGGATCTTAAGGGTGAGAGTGGAAGGAAAGTGGCCCAAGACTATTGAGCTTTCAGCGTGAGCTTGGTGAGAAATTACTTAAGAGTTAGATTAGCCCTCTCAACCCTTGCAGAAGATTGAAGATGTCAGGTGGTAGGAACATATTGGAAATGAAATCTGGGCCATCATCAGACTCTAGAGACTGGGAAAGCCCAAAGCCAGAAATGATGTGTTCTGGGAGGATGCTGGCTACCTCCGAGGCTCGCTCTTCTTGGTGGGAAACGCCTTTATCTTCCTAGAGAAGATGCCCAGTGGACACTGCATCCCTTGCATGGGTGCTTGTAAATAAATCTTACTTCTCCCATCATAGTTTTGCGCATGGAAGTTGAAGGGTTACAGGTTTGAGGACCCCCTCTGGGTTGGCTTGACAACAGGTAAGACAGGCTTCAGAATTGTATCCCAATGACTGAGCAGCACTGTGTCGGTAAAGTCAGGCTCAATCAGAACTTGAGAGATGCAGCCCTCAAATGTATGGCCTAATAAGAACTATTAAGGGCCTTTTGCTGGGAGGATCCAGGGAGCAATAGCTTGATTTCAGGGCTTTGTAACTCTGCTTCCTGAGCAGTTGTGAAGCCCTGATCTAAAGCCTTTTGAAGGATACATTTTAGACATGGGAGAGTGGTATTGGGAGTGTAGGTGACCTGACGTGGGAGTTTAGCTACCCTTTTAGCCTGTTGATCTGCTTGGTTGTTCCCATTCGAGATGCCAGAGTAGCCTTTTTGGTGGGTCTTGTGATGTATAATGGCCATCTGAGTTAGAAGCTAGGTGGCGTCTAGAAGGGTCCACATCCCAGGAGCATGTTTAACCAAGGTATTACAGGCAGTGGGGAAGCCCTTTTCTCTCCAGATAGCTGTGGTTGTGAGTCACATAGAAATCACAGGCTGAATCTGTGTAACTATGTCTCATTCTTGCCCTCAGCCAGAGGGCTCTGGTGAGGGTAATTAGTTCTGCTCTTGGGGCGAATATGGAATTACTCAGAATGCTGCAGATTCTCTGCCCTCTATGAAGTTCACTATTCTATATTGAAAGTCTATGCCTTACGTCCATCAGACTGCTACTGTTCATGAACCAGGTAGCCTCAGCTTGGGGAAGTGGGGACGCATGTGGGTCTGGACTAGTACAACAGCCAGGCTGACTGTTCCTCATGGGGATGTTATAGACACTCCTTGAGATTCGTGTACTAGGTCCTTTCCTCACTGTTCTGACACAATGTCTGACAGATGCTACCTAAGGATGGACAAGCTTATTTGGGCTCTGTTTGGGGTACAGGAATGTGAGGTGGCTGGTCACGCTGCATCCAGCCAGGAAGCAGAGAGATAAATACTGGTCTTAGCTCACTTCCTCCTTTTCACACACTCCAGGACCCCAGCCTGTGGAATGGAGTCACTCACATTTCAGATGGCTCTTCCTGCCCCAATTTCCTCAACTAGAAACTCTCTCACAAATGGTAGTTTGTCAACTAGATCCTGTCAAATTGAAAATTAATGTCACAGTAAGATTTGACGGTAGGATTAGAAGATTTAAAGTTTGGCAAGATTTTTTGTTTGTTTGTTTGTTTTTGTTTTTTTGGTGTTTGAAGACAGGGTTTCACTGTGTCCTGGAACTTGCACTGTAGACCAGGCTGCCCTTGAACTCACAGAGATCCTCCTGCCTCTGCCTCGTAAGTGCTGGGATTAAAGGCGTGCACCACCACTGCCAGAGGGCAAAGTTTTATAGGAAGCTCCGAAGTCTGGTGCTGTTGATTCTGCCAGGGAGAGGTGTGCAACTGTGGAGGACTTCCAACGGGTAACTTCCGAGGACTCCAAAGTTTGGATTAAACACCCGATGCTCTGCTATGCCCTTTCAGTCGTATACATGTGCAAAGGAGGGTTTAGTAAGGCCAGGAGAGCTAGTGCGGGACAAATCTAAGACATCTAGGGCATTAGGGGGGAATGTGATTAAAATACATTATGTACACGTATGAAGATGTTAAATGAAACCCATTATTATGTACACTACTAAAAATGTTAAAAAAAAAAAAAAAGACAAACTCTCTTCCCTGAGGGTCATTCACTGGACTTTATCTCTTTTGCTTCTGTTCTTTTTGGCTCCCAACATATATGTCCCTTGTACTAACTAATTTGTGGGTCCCACCTCAGAGCCTTCTTCTGCATCTAATCCCTTCTTATTCATGTGTGACTTTAGCCTTTGTATCGATAAGTAACAACCCAGTCTTTCTGGGAACCTGAAATGTAAAACCCTAAAATCTGAGGTCTTCAAATATCCCCCACCCATTAGGTTGACCTCAGATTTCCTTGAAGTTTCATGTCTCCCGCCCCCGTCCCCCATGCCCCCCCCCATGCCAAAGTAAGTAATGACTACCTATTTAGCCTGGATGCCATGATGGTCTCTTGCTAGGACCATCATCATTCGTATGTATTTGCTCTTTATTTAGCCACAGGGTCTTGATAAGTAGCCCAGTTTGGCTTTGGGTTCACTAAATAGCCTGGGCTGCCCTCAAACTCATGACATAAAAATCTGTCTAGTCTGTCTTGGTGGCCCAGTCCCAGCTACTCACGAGGTTGAGGCAGAGAATCATTCCTGTCTGGGCAACAGAGAGAGATATTATGTTTAAAACAAACAAATGAACGAACAAAAAAAGAAAGAAAAGGTAGGGAAGAGGGAAGCCAAGATGGGAGAGAGAAAGTTGGGGTTATAACTAAGTGGTGGACCTTGCCTATCGTGTACACTGTAAACCCTAAACAACAACAACAAAACTGTTCAACGGACAGGGGAAAGCAGCATGTAGTAAAAGAAAGCATATCTGTGGGACCAGGCGTGAGGGTAGAGGAAATGAATATAAGGAAGCATTAAAGAGATTTCTGGAGGTGAAAAATGTCCCATACATTGATTGTGGCATTAGGCATGTAGGCATATGCTCTGTGGGCATGTAATGTGTGTGTATGTATTCTTTCAAATTTCATGAATGTATATTGTTAAAACCGATGTTTACGGCACATAAAATATACCCCCAATAAAGTTTATTTAATTAATTAATTAATTTGCTTATTTAGGTTTTTCGAGACAGGGTTTCTCTGTGTAGCTTTGCACCTTTCCTGGATCTTGCTCTGTAGACCAGGCTGGCCTCGAACTCACAAAGATCCACCTGCCTCTACTTTCCGAAAGTTTATTTTAAAAGCTATCCTGTGTCACACACTGCCTGGAGGAAATGGTTCAAATTTCTTTTCTTTTTTTTTTTTTTAATTTATTTATTTTATGTGTGTGGGTGTTCTGCCTGCATATGTTTGTGCAGCACCAGTGTGCCTGGTGCCTGTGGAAGCCAGAAAAGGTGTTGGATTCTCTGGAACTGGAGTTGCAGACAGTTGGGAGCTGCTCTGTGGATGCTGGGAACTGAACTCAGGTCCTCTGGATGAGCAGCAAGTGCTCTTAACCTCTGAGCCGTCTCTCCAGCCCAGGCTTAAATATCTTATCCTAGCAGATGCCACGATGTGGCTTTCTTCGCTGCTTCTTCTCTTGCTCCATTCCCTAAGCACTGTTCATATCGCTCTAACACGTGCTTAGGTGTTCAGCCCTTCCGGGCTCACCTGCTAAGCTGCCTCTGTGAGCCTTTCTCTTTTTGGCTCTATGTAGCCAATACAAAAAGTCTACCACAGAAAGTTTTTGTTTACACTCCTGTTACGTTTCCCCAACTCCTAGATCAGGCTGTGAGTGCGACAGCTGGGCCTCGTCGTCACCACGACTGTAACTTGGACGCCGGGTCACAGAGCTGCTCTGTCATCAATCACAGTCGGGAAAAAAAGGCAGAGGCGCAGACACAACCCCTCCAGCCCTGCAGGCGGCGCTGTGGCAGCCGCCATCCTCTCCCCGCTCCCGACTTCTCTAAGCGGAGGCACCGCCCCCTGGGAGCATGCCTCCTGCCCATTGGACCGGCGCGGCCGAGGCCGACCAATGGCGTGGACGCTAGTGGCCTCCATCTTTGTGCCGCCGGAGCCCCGCGCCGAGGGCGGTTGCAGGAGGAGGTCGCTGCCGGTGGGCTGCGCTGGGTTTTCCTCCGTGGCCTCGTCTCTCGCTGCCCGAAGCCGCGATGCCTCAGTTCCAGACCTGGGAGGAGTTCAGCCGCGCGGCCGAGAAGCTCTACCTCGCCGATCCCATGAAGGTGAGTCGCTAGCGGGACGGCCCCGGGGCTGGGGTCTTCTCTGCCTTTGCTGCGCCTTTAGCACATCCAGGAAGCAGCGTCTGCCCTCGAGCCTCACTGCGCCTTCCGTCTCCTTCCGTCTGACTCGGGGCCCAGGCAGAGCCTTTTCCACAGCGGCGGACTCTACGGTGGCCTCCCCCCCCCCCCCAAGGGAACTCCTTACTTCCGCCTTGGCTTTGGTTGGTTTACGTGTCGCTGAGGCTGGGGCTCCTCCTCCTCCTGCACCTTCTCTTTCCTGTCCGTCACTTATTTGGTGCCCCTTTCCCTTCCCCAAAGGCGTTTATAAAATGGTGATAATGTTATGCCCCCACTCAGACAGCCTTGGAAGGTCCCCGGTTGGGAAGCACCTGCCCCACTCCCCAGAATAATGGGATTCTTAGACTTTCCTGTGGGTCAGGGATCGTTTTGAAACCTTGAGAATCTTGCACTTATACCTCAGGCAGAAGTGTTCCTTATAGCTCAAGCATAAGTGTTTGCAAACAACTTCATTCCCCAATGCAAATCTCCCCATTCCCATCTCACCAATTCAGAATAGGTTCTGTGAGAGACAGAGGTAAATTTCACCATCCCTTAAGGATTGTTGAAGGTACGGTAGATACATGTATTATGAATATACCCACGGGAGAAAAAAGAAAATGAGAAGCAGTTAACAGATCTCAAGAACCGGGGATCGGGGCTTACTGAATGCCATTTCTAATGGCCCGCATATAACAGGAACTATTTTTAGAGCTATATATAGGGGCTGGGGAGGTGCTTAGTGTGCAGAACTCACATAAAGATGGAAAGAAAGAACCAGTTCCCCAAAGTTGTCCTCTAACCAAACATCCATCTCTCTCTCTCTCTCTCTCTCTCTCTCTCTCTCTCTCTCACACACACACACACACACACACACACACACACACACACACACACACACAAAATAATAGTACTAAGTAAAAAAAATTAAAAATACATTGGTGCTGGCAACTTGGTTTTTGTTTGTTCGTTCGAGACAGGGTTTCTCTGTGTAGCCTTGGCTGTCCTGAAACTTGCTCTGTAGACCAGGCTGGCCTAGAAATCACAGAGATCCTACCTCTGCCTCCCAAGTGCTGGGATTAGAGACCTTCACCAACATCACCCGGCTGGTGCTGGCAACTTGTGATAGCAGTTCTTACTACAGGTATTTATTTATTTTTTTAAAAAAACAAAGAGCATCTTTTAAAAAGATTATTTCATTAATTATTATGTGTATCAGTGTTTTGCCGAGTGTATGTAGGTACACCCTGTCCATGCATGGTGCCTACAGAGGTCAAAAGAAGGCATTAAATCCCCTGGAACTGGGGTTAGGGATGGTTGTGAGCCACCATGTGAGTGCTGGGAACCAAACCCGTGTCCAGCCGCAGCAAGATAAGTTGCCGTTATGATAATGAGTGGTCTTCGACCCAGGAAGGGAATGGTGGTGTACACCTGTAATCCTAGCATTCAGGAAGCTGAAGAAAGGAGGAGAGAGAATTTGAGGTCAGACTAGGTTACACAGTAAGATCCTGTTTTAGGGAGAGAGGAAGAAGAAGAAATGCATTAGAAGGAAAAGAAGGAAGGGGGAGGAGCGGGAGGAATGAACCGGAACCATAGGAAGACCTGAGTAGACAGTAGAACATTTTGATCCATCCTTGTTTTATTTTTAGACATCCTCGTCTCACTTGCCCAGATGGGCCTCTTTAACTTACTGTGTAGTTGAGAATGATCTTGAACTCTGGATGTTCCTAGTCTAGCTCCCCTTCCCCTTCTATATTTTTTTGAGAAGTATTGCTGTGTTAAGCCCAAATTGCCCTTGAATTAAAGGTCCTCTGCAGCAGCCTGTTGCTGGAATTACAGGCATGTGCCACCATTCCTGGCTTTTTGTGGTGCCATTTGTTGTAGTTTCGTTTCTGTTGCTATGGCAACAACCCTGACAGACAGCAGTACTGGGGAGGAAGGGCTTATTTGGTTTACCATTCCAGTTAAAGTCCGTCACTGAGGGACGTCAGGGCAGGAACTTGAAACCACTACAACCATAGTCAAGAGCAGAGAGAAATGAAGGGAAACCATGCTGCCTGCTTGCTTGTGTCCCTTGGTTCTTAGCTAGCTGGCTCTGCTCCTACAGTTCAGGGCCCAGTAAACAGTCCCACAGGCCCACAGGTCAACCTAATCTAGATAATCCTCTTTCAGGCTCCCTTCTAAGGCAAGATTTAAAACTAATTATTCTATTATTCTTAAATTGACATTACTAGTTCATCAGTTTTATTTACAAAGTGATAATAAATGGTGAAATAGATTAGGTATTTTTGAAATGGCAGTTTGTGATGGTGGCTTCTGGTATCGATCTGGTTTATGTCCCTTTCCCTTGCCATTTCCTCCGTTGAGCAACGTGCTGTAAGGTGTACGGGATTCTGTCCAGAAGGGCCTGATACCGACTACAGTATAATTTTTTAATTTAGTGTTAAGAGTGGTGAAGACTATTCCAGCACACAGAGGGCTATATTTTTAGGAGTGTGGTGGCAGTTGTAGGGAACATGAAAATAGAAGTGACAGGAAGTGGTGGTGATGAACAGGAAGTGGTGGTGATGAAAGCATGTCTAGAACGGACAGGAAGTGGTGGTGATGAAAGCATGTCTAGAACGGACAGGAAGTGGTGGTGATGGAAGCATGTCTAGAACGGACAGGAAGTGGTGGTGATGAAAGCATGTCTAGAACGGACAGGAAGTGGTGGTGATGGAAGCATGTCTAGAACAGACAGGAAGTGGTGGTGATGAAAGCATGTCTAGAACGGACAGGAAGTGGTGGTGATGGAAGCATGTCTAGGACGGACAGGAAGTGGTGGTGATGAAAGCATGTCTAGAACGGACAGGAAGTGGTGGTGGTGGAAGCATGTCTAGAACGGACAGGAAGTGGTGATGGAAGCATGTCTAGAACGGACAGGAAGTGGTGGTGGTGGAAGCATGTCTAGAACGGACAGGAAGTGGTGGTGATGGAAGCATGTCTAGAACAGACAGGAAGTGGTGGTGATGGAAGCATGTCTAGAACAGACAGGAAGTGGTGGTGGTGGAAGCATGTCTAGAACGGACAGGAAGTGGTGGTGATGGAAGCATGTCTAGAACAGACAGGAAGTGGTGGTGATGGAAGCATGTCTAGAACAGACAGGAAGTGGTGGTGATGGAAGCATGTCTAGAACAGACAGGAAGTGGTGGTGATGGAAGCATGTCTAGAACAGACAGGAAGTGGTGGTGGTGAAAACATGTCTAGAACAGACAGGAAGTGGTGGTGATGGAAGCATGTCTAGAACGGACAGGAAGTGGTGGTGAAAGCATGTCTAGGACGGACAGGAAGTGGTGGTGAAAGCATGTCTAGAATGGACAGGAAGTGGTGGTGATGGAAGCATGTCTAGGACGGACAGGAAGTGGTGGTGATGGAAGCATGTCTAGAACGGACAGGAAGTGGTCATGGAAGCATGTCTAGAACGGACAGGAAGTGGTGGTGATGGAAGCATGTCTAGAACGGACAGGAAGTGGTGGTGAAAGCATGTCTAGAACGGACAGGAAGTGGTGGTGATGGAAGCATGTCTAGGACGGACAGGAAGTGGTGGTGATGGAAGCATGTCTAGAACGGACAGGAAGTGGTCATGGAAGCATGTCTAGAACGGACAGGAAGTGGTGGTGATGGAAGCATGTCTAGAACGGACAGGAAGTGGTGGTGATGGAAGCATGTCTAGAACGGACAGGAAGTGGTGATGGAAGCATGTCTAGAACGGACAGGAAGTGGTGGTGATGGAAGCATGTCTAGAACAGACAGGAAGTGGTGATGGAAGCATGTCTAGAACGGACAGGAAGTGGTGGTGATGGAAGCATGTCTAGAACGGACAGGAAGTGGTGGTGGTGGAAGCATGTCTAGAACGGACAGGAAGTGGTGGTGATGGAAGCATGTCTAGAACAGACAGGAAGTGGTGATGGAAGCATGTCTAGAACGGACAGGAAGTGGTGGTGGTGGAAGCATGTCTAGGACGGACAGGAAGTGGTGGTGATGGAAGCATGTCTAGAACAGACAGGAAGTGGTGGTGGTGGAAGCATGTCTAGGACGGACAGGAAGTGGTGGTGATGGAAGCATGTCTAGAACGGACAGGAAGTGGTGGTGATGGAAGCATGTCTAGAACAGACAGGAAGTGGTGGTGGTGGAAGCATGTCTAGGACGGACAGGAAGTGGTGGTGAAAGCATGTCTAGGACGGACAGGAAGTGGTGGTGGTGGAAGCATGTCTAGAACGGACAGGAAGTGGTGGTGATGGAAGCATGTCTAGAATGGACAGGAAGTGGTGGTGGTGGAAGCATGTCTAGAACGGACAGGAAGTGGTGGTGATGGAAGCATGTCTAGAACGGACAGGAAGTGGTGGTGATGGAAGCATGTCTAGAACAGACAGGAAGTGGTGGTGTTGGAAGCATGTCTAGGACGGACAGGAAGTGGTGGTGAAAGCATGTCTAGGACGGACAGGAAGTGGTGGTGGTGGAAGCATGTCTAGAACGGACAGGAAGTGGTGGTGATGGAAGCATGTCTAGAACGGACAGGAGGGAAGAACCTTGCATGTCTACCCAGCTAGGAAATCCTAGTGGCCTATGGACTTCTGCTTCCTTGTAGCCTTCTGCTAGGCTTTCACTTTTTACAGACCCTGGCTCTGAACCCCAGCCCTCCTGGTCCTTGTAGGCCTAAAGAAGACAGCTGGTCAGGTCTCTGAAGCGTTTGCTAAGATGGCGCCTTCTTTGCCCAGCACATTTCCTGTGGAGCCCATACATGTCTTCTCATCCTTTACCACACGGACTGAGAAAGAGCCTGTTAGTTGGGTCTGTCTTCCTTTTAGACCCTCCTTCACATTCCTGCTGTAGCTGTCTGAAAATATAGACATTGAAGTGTCCTGTGCTTAAAACCAGTTCTTCATTAATTACTGAATAAAGTCCCAAATCCCCAGCTCACTCACTGTCTTGACTCAATCATACCCCAACCCCCCACCCCATTCTAGAGTCTAGACTTGTTGAAGCCACAGAATACACGGGATCTTTGTTCAGAATGCTGCTCATGCTTTCTCCAGCCTTCTCTGTGGGGAAACAAGACATGCAGTTTTCAAAGCCACCTCCTAAGGAAAGTGGCTCCCCCCTTTCTCAGTATAAACTGCTTTTTATTCCTTTAGTACTTTTAACAGTATTTTTTTTCTAGGACTTTTAATTCATTCTGCTTTGTGTCTGATTATTTTGGTTTGCTGAACTCAGTGGACAGGAGCCTTGAGTTTTTGTCTCTGTGACTCCCCTGAAAATGGATACTTGTCTTATATCACCATTAGCCCCGTAACTCTCCGTCCCTGTGAAAACAATGAGTGTATTTTAGCCAACAGTTAAAATCCTACGTTGTTGTCTTACTTAGTTTAACTTTTAAAATTTGGTTCCTCTTTGTTCCTACAAAGTAAATTTAAAAAGTTATAATACTGAATTTGTTCAGAGAATAGGTCAGGTATTGTAAACATGAGTAGTTATTTTATGTTCTGGATGAGTTTCCCCTCTGTCCTCACCTAGACAAACTTCTTAGAGATGTAACACTTATAACCTCAGCAGGGCAGAGTGCAGTCGGACAAGCCACAGGTTGCCACACCGAAATCATTTTATATTTGTGGGCTTTTGGAATTGGGACCTCAAGGGGCAGGAAAGGGCCAGTGAGTTTTAGGGTTTTGTTTTTTAAAGTGACCTAAACAGGAGTCATTGATAGCAAAGCACCGACTGCTTCAGTCTCTGTGTTTGCGTTCATCAGTGACAGAAAATGCTCCTAGAAGTGGAGTTTGGGCTGCTGTTGTAGAGGGGTGTGCTAATATCCAAATTATGTCATGGCTACTTAAGTGTAGAAGAGCGAGCATCAGAAAGTGCCCTGTGACATGGGCTCACTGTTCTGAGCGAGTCTGGCTTTGGGAAGATGTGGGCTCTTCAGGTGGACTCCCTTCCAGTAACAGCCTCCTCCTGTGCTGTCGTGATAAAGATGGACCTGTGCTGAGTAGTCTGAACTGTCTTCCCGGAGGAGTGTGCACAGGTGGAAAGGGGGAGTGGCTTGCCTGCCTGCAGCACGCTTTTCTGAGGGATGGAGTTGGACTTTTCATTTCTGCTCCCTGCCACCCCCTTCCTGTCACTTGTTTGACTGATAGGAGTGCCAGGCCACCTCACAGACGTTCCTTGATGTGTGTGCTGGGAATTTTAGTACATTTCTTCAAACTCCAAATACAGCACCCACCTTTAAAAACAAAAGTTTGTTTTTTTAAATAGGGGCTGGGGAGATGGCTCTGTGAGTAAAAAGCTTTCTGTGTGAACTTAAGGACCTGAGTTCGGATCCTCAGCACCCCTGTAAAATCTGGGCGTGGTGTGCATCTGTAACTCCAGCACTGAGTGGGCAGAAAGGAGGGAGACATGCAGATTCCCAGAGTTCACTGGCCACCAGCCTGGCCAACCAGTAAGCTCCGGGTTCATCGAGAGACCCACTCTTGGGAATGAAAATGGACAGGACTGGGGAGATGGCTCTTGCAGAGGATCCAGGTTTGGTTTTCAGCTCTGCACCCAGATGGCAGCTCACAACCATCTGTAACTCCAGTTCCAGGGACACCAACACCTTCTTCCGGCCTCTGCAGGTACCAGGCACTCATCATGGTGCACAGACATGCATGCAGGGAAAGCACGCAAGTGTCCAAACACATAAATAAAAATAATCTTAAAAAAACAAAATGGAGAATAGAGCTCATAGCTCTGCATACATGTGCACACATGTATCATGTGCATATATCCATTTAAAGTATACATAGAACATAGATAGTTGAGCTGTGGCTGGCTTTCCCCCTTCATCTCAGTGAAGAGGCTGCAGTGGGAACACTCTCAGGGGTCGGGGCTTTTATTCCATAGAGCTTTGGCACCCACGTACTCAGTTGTAGATGAACAGTGCCATCTGTCTATTTTTGCTGTTTTTCAATAAGTATTTTTATTGCAGGTACGTGTGGTTCTCAAATACAGGCATGTTGATGGGAATCTGTGTATCAAAGTAACAGACGATTTAGTTGTAAGTATCCATTTTTTTTTATTGCATTGGGGGGTCTGAGTTGACCATTTGTTTGAAGTTGTTTATGGAGAGTTCGTGCAGATGACCTCTCTAGGGTCCTTGCTGTGCATGCATTCCATAGTGAAGACTTCTTTCTAGAGCTGTTCTTTTTGGGTTTTTGAGACAGGGTTTCTCTGTAGTCCTGGCTGTCCTGAAACTCACTTTGTAGACTGGGCTGGCTTCGAACTCAACAAAATCTGCCTGCCTCTGCCTTCAAGTGCTGGGATTAAAGGCCTGCACCGCCACCACCCGGCCTGAAGCTGTTCTTTTAGACTCAGGAAGTAGCTGAGCTTGCTTCGGGAAGGCAGTGTACCAGCAGTGGCCCAAGAGCTGCTTCTTAGGCCTTAAGCCAGAGAAACGTGGAGACTGAAATTGAACAGGTTTCCTTTCTCATGGTGAGAAGTCCGTTTTATGTAATTGTTTGTTTGTTTGTTTGTTCTTTTTGAGTCAGGGTTTCTCTGTGTAGCTTTGACTGTACTGGAACTCGCTATGTAGACCAGGCTGGCCTCGAACTCACAGAATGCTAGGATCAAATGCGTCACCATGCCTGGCTCCATAAATGACATATTTGAAACCAGACCCGGGGCTTGTTACTGTTTCTCCGTTCGTCCTTCCCTGCCTCTGTGGCTGGACTCCTGTGCCCTCCACCAGTACTGCTCCTGATGTGAACTCACCGTGCTGTGACGAGAGCTCTAGGCCAGTGCTGTCATTAGTTCGTGTTCATTTGATTCCCGCCACATCCGGTGGGAAGACCACATTCCATGGGAAGTTTAAGCACTTGAAGCTTTACTTTATGTTTGCCTTGCTCTTCTGTGCTCCCGTCTCTGCTCATCACTAGATGTTTCCCCGTAAATACCATCTTTCACCAGTGTTCTGGCCTTGGTCCTCCTTTTGTTCTGCTTCTTCCAGAACAGCCCATTTGATTGCTGCAGCCGGCACCTTCTGTATTCATGTCTGCTTACAGAGTTGTGTACTGGACTCCCATTTTTCTTCTGAGACTCTGACTGACTATGAAGTCAAGTGACATTACTTCATGCACCCTTCAGAGTTAGCCTATCAGCTCTTCATCTGGCTCCTTCTGTGGTTAGGCATGCTGTCACCCACCTGGCCGGAAGCCTGGGGATGGTATTTGGTCCCTTCTTTTCTTTGGTGGTTATGCCTACTGTTGGTTTATTTGGAAAGTGGCATTTTGATCTCTTTTTTTTTTTTTTTTTTTGGTTTTTCGAGACAGGGTTTCTCTGTGTAGCTTTGCGCCTTTCCTGGAACTCGCTTTGGAGACCAGGCTGGCCTCGAACTCACAGAGATCCGCCTGGCTCTGCCTCCCGAGTGCTGGGATTAAAGGCGTGCGCCACCACCGCCCAGCCCATTTTGATCTCTTAACGTGCCATACCTACACTGGGCTAGGCATTCGGACTTGCTGACTCCAGCCTCTTGCGCCCCTTCCTGCTGTCACCGGCTCTCCATCTTCACTGATGCTCTCCTCAGATGAGGCTCACACTGCTTGCCCGGTTTATTAGAACCGTCTCTCAACATACCGTGCCTTTAGTTCATCCTGTGCACTGCCAGTGATCGATCTCTCTCTCTCTCTCTCTCTCTCTCTCTCTCTCTCTCTCTCTCTCTCTCTCTCTCTCTCTCTCACACACACACACACACACACACACACACACACACACACACACACACACACAGAGTTTCCCTCCCATTTTCCAAGGGCTTTACACACACTACATGTGCACTACTACTGAGCATATCTCCAGCCCCGCCAGAATGATTTTTAAAAGTGAAAACTTGATTGTTAATTCCCTTAAAAGCAAACTCTCTACATGTCATCCTCAGGTCCCTCTGATGTGTTTTCTGCATTAGGAAGAGACCAGTCTCTCCAGTAGGAAATACATAAATATAACTTAGTAAAAGTCTTGTAGCCCATGCTGGCCTGAACTTGCTTTGTAGCTGAGAATGATCTTCAGCTTTTTTTATTTAATTTATTCTAGGTGTGTGGGTGTTTTGCTGCATGTATGTCTGTGTACCATGTGCATGCCTGGTACCTTAGGAGGCCAGAAGAGGGGACTGGAACTGGGACAGCAGGATTTAACTTGCCATTTTTGAGATGTTCCTAGAGGAGTTTCTGTACATGTCATCTGCAGCAGTGGCATTTAAAATAACATAGGGAAAGCAATTGTTGGATGCTCAGTATGACTTCAGAGAGAATAGAGCAAAATAAGGGCAAACAAGACTCCCAGATATTTGACCACTTACCTGCTTCCCTCATTACTAGAATCTAGCTTTGCTTAGTTTGTGTGTCTTTACATTTTCTGACAGTGTTTGGTGTACAGAACAGACCAAGCTCAAGATGTAAAGAAGATTGAGAAATTCCACAGTCAGCTAATGAGACTTATGGTGGCCAAGGAATCCCGCAGCGTCTCCATGGAAACAGAATGAATGGTTTGAAATGAAGAAGGCTGTTTGTATGTTCTTGGGAAGTAAATAGCTTTTGAAACTGAGAAAGTGTTGGGAAGAAAATATTTATGTAACTGAGCTGTTGAGCTGAGAGACCAGCCTGTGTTCTAAGGATTGCTTTAGACAGTGGGAATGTCAGCGCTTTCAGTTAGAAAACCTTATTTTTGGAAACTGAATAAGAAATACCTTAGAAACTTTTTGCAGATCATTTGATGTTGGGCAAATATGTAATTATTTTTCTGATAAATTCATATCAGTAATTTGTTGATGAATTAACAAGAAAAGTTGGTTCTTTCTAGATTGTGTATAAGAAGAAATAAAATGTAACCTTTGTTTTGTTGGTATTTTCTTTTGGAGCATTATATTTGTGCCGTTTATAATAAACTTGGCAGCTGAGGTCACTGCTCTGCAGTGTGCATGATCTGGTGTGAATTGCAAGCCTGCTGTACCTTTCTTGCCAGGTTCAAACTGTGTTTGAATAGAAGGGATTTGTAGCATCAGCTTGCTGAGCAAAGTCAGGCTGTGAGTCTGACTTCCGGGTATTTGAGTGCACAGGCAGAATGATGGTGACTGACGGAATGAAACCACCCCATGCAGAATATTCATCATGTAATTCCTGCCTGTGGTTGCTCAGAAGGGTAAGGATTATTCAGACTGTACTAAAGTATTAAGCATAGCATGCCTCTTAGAACTGTTAGGTTTCAATAAACCAGAAGTCTACTGTTTCATATTTAGCCTGTATTTGTAATCTGATTTTGCCACCTAAATGTAATGTCCCATGTTGTCTGCTCAAGAGTAAAGTGAAGGTACTGCACTAAAGTATATTTTGTAAAAATTTGTCATGTTGCCAGGCGGTGGTGGCGCACGCCTTTAATCCCAGCACTCGGGAGGCAGAGGCAGGCGGATCTCTGTGAGTTCGAGGCCAGCCTGGTCTCCAAAGCGAGTACCAGGAAAGGCGCAAAGCTACACAGAGAAACCCTGTCTCGAAAAAACCAAAAAAAAAAAAAAAAAAATTTGTCATGTTAATAACATTTTAACTTGAAATTTTTATTTTAAGAATTTTAGCCTGTTTTAGAAGTCAGTAAATAAAATATAAGCATACTATTTTTGTTCAATTTTTTAATTTCTTGTGTATGTTTCTTTCCTTTCCTTTCTTTCTCTTTCTTTAGCTAGGGTCTCACTAGCCCTGGCTGGCCTCAAACTCACAGAGATCCACTTGCCTCTGCTTCCCAAGAGTTGGGACTAATGGTGTGGGCCACCATGTAGCTGGAAGTTTTCCTGTGTCCCGCCTGGGCCCTGCAGTTGGGATGAATCTCTCCTGCCTGCGTCCCACAGCCACTTGGTCCCAAATAAACACACAGAGGCTTATATTATTTTCAAACTGTATGACCTAATAACTCAGGCTTCTTGCTAGCTAGCTCTTACATCTTAAATTAACCCATTTCTATAAATCTGTACTTTGCCACGTGGCTTGTGGCTTACCAGTACTTCTACATCTTGCTTCTCCTGGCGGCGGCTGCTAGCAGCATCTCTCCTGCCTGTCCTTTCCCTTCCTGTCTAACCTCAATTTTCCGCCTAGCTGTAACCTGACTTGCCATAGGCCAAATGGCTTTATTTATCAACCAATCAGAGCAACACATATTCACAGCATACAGAACATCCCACAGCACTTACCCTTTTCTGTGTAATCAAAAGGGAAGGTTTTAACTTTAACATAGTAAAATTACATATAATAGAACAGTTATCAAGCAAGAATTACAATTACAGTATCTAGTCTATTTGTATTTGGCAAAATTAAAGATTCTATCTATCCTATATTTGTAAGTCTAAGGTTCATATCTAATTTATCTTTTATCATAACCAAGGAAAATTATAACTATCTAACTTTCAACTACATCAAAGTCTCCAGAAGGATATAATATTACCTAAGTAAATAGGAAATGCATTGTAAAACAACTTCCAAAATCTAGAATAACGAAGACATCTACCTGCCTGGATAGTCATTCAAAGTTCCTCTGTAACATTGGGGCATCCATCTTCAGCCAGTAGACCTAGAGTTTTTTTAGTCACTTCTCCCTGTGTCCTGTAAAATATCTGTCAGTCTCCTCTGTGAAGCAGGAACCTGAAGAACCATTTTACCCCATTTGGCAAATTTGGTGGTCAGTTTCCTATGGGTTCTGCATGTCCAGTTTATACAACATATTATCAGCAGTCCAGGCAAGAGCAGTTTCTTGTCCAAATGGCTATTTTTGCCAAGAAGATAAACTCAATATTGAGTGTTTTCAACACCCATCTTTCTCTTTAAAGTAAATCGGTGCTGCCAGGAGCAGATGTGTCTCACTGTCCAGAAAGTCTTAAGTTTTTAAACTATTTTAAATGCCATATTCTGTAGGTCTTTGAAGTGTTTGAAGATTACCTACTTAACTGAAGTATATCTATGTGTACCTAGAAAACTTAACTAACATGACTAAGTTTGAATATCATAGATGACTAATTACTAATCTGTAATTTTTATTTATACATTACAATTTCAATGAGCTGCACAAACATAATACCTTAAACAAGAGTAGAGAGATACATATAGTATAACAAAATTAACTTTAAATTTGTATCAATAAATAAAATCCATAGCAATGTAAAATATTTTAAGCAAGTTGTTGCTCTTTAAAAGTAGATTCAATAATTACCATTTTATTCTATATCCTATATTTCTGTATCATATCCCTCTTTCTTTTTTGACAAAGAGCTTGACTATGACCAATAACAATTTGTAACCAACAACCTAAACAAAGACAAACATCCATAATCCATTTTTTTGGGAATGTGGCCGTAGTTTTCTAGGCTACTTCCTGCTGATAGGGGGCACTGATAATCTTATGGGGATCCTGAGAAAATTCAAGATAATGGTCAAGGCCTGGGAGGACTGACTATAACCTTTATTGATAGGTACCATCTGCTAAGGTTCAGGAGGTCTTGTTTGATCAAATCTGATCCATCTAAACCTGGAACAAATCCATAGCCTCTTGCCTCCTGTGGAAACAAAAGCAGAGCCTCCTTTCCAAAGCAACATGTCCTTAGATACAAATTTTGAAGTCAAGATACCTTTAAAATAGACATGGTTTAACTGAGCAGCCTTTACAATCAAATCCCAAAGACAATATAATCCAGACTCTGTGTGATTTCCATCTTTATGTGGCTTATTTTTTATATTACTTTTACTGTCTCTTTGAAGACTTTATTTTTTTTTTTTTAAAACTGTTTCTTTATATAACTCTATCCTCCTTTTCCTCCCTTTTCCAAGCCTACGTGCATTTTTACACATAATGTAAACCGTTTAAGGTCTTATTCCATCTGAATCTGCCTCATTGTGAATCTATTGCTTTAAACTGCAGTGGCTAGTACTGAAGTGGAAGCCTTGGCTGTTGACTCTGCCCACTTCAGCTTTCCAATGTGGTGGTGGTATATTTATCTCCAGCTCTGGGAACCATGTGCACCACCAACTCTGGGAAGCAGTGGGTCTGTGCCTCCATCAAAGCAGCGTGTAACCCAGAAATCATTTTTCTTTCTTTTTTGTCTGTACTAGCAAAAGCTAAATCCACCATGCAGCATACTGCAGGTCAAGCCCACACGCTGCTGTGAACCTGCCATACTGTAGCTCAGGGCTGGTCTGAGAGACACAACTAGGAAGCTGATTTTAGCTCCGTTTTAGAATCTTCTTTTCTTTCTTTTTCTTTTTTCTTTTTTTTTTTTCTTTTTAAAGCTTTCTCAGGTTTTAGGTGGAAACTCTTGCTCCACATTGGGCAGCCAAAATGTAGCTGTAAGTTTTTCTGTGTCCCAGCCAGCCAGCAGTTGGGACAAATCTCTCCTACCCATGTCCCACAGCCACTTGATCCCAAATAAACACACAGAGGCTTATACTATTTTCTTTTTTTTTTAAGATTTATTTATTTATGTATACAGCATGTATGACTGCAAGCCAGAAGAGAGAGCACCAGATCTCATTATAGATGGTTGTGAGCCACCATGTGGTTGCTGGGAATTGAACTCAGGACCTCTGGAAGAGCAGTCAGTGTTCTTAACCTCTGAGCCATCTCTCCAGCCTGTATTATTTTCAAACTGTATGACCTAATAGCTCAGGCTTCTTGCTAGCTAGCTCTTACATCTTAAATTAACCCATTTCTGCAAATCTATACTTTGCCACATGACTTGTGGCTTACCAGTACTTTACATCTTGCTTCTCCTGGCGGCGCCTCTCCTTTCCCTTCCTGTCTATCCTGAATTTCCTGCCTAGCTATAACCTGACTTGCCATAGGCCAAATGGCTTTACTTATCAACCAATCAGAGCAACACATATTACATATAGAAAGATATCCCACAACACCACCACACCTGTTTTGTATGGATTTCTTGACTAGAGTATACCATATTCATTTAGTCTAATGTGAGTCTAGAGACACCAAAAGTGAATGTTTTTCTTTGTTAATTTTCTTGTCTTTTTATTTCATCAGTCTCTAAGCTGTTTGTTGATGGTTAAAATTGTTTTCTCTATTTGGGAAAGTACAATCAAATACTACTTTTTTAGTTTTGAGTTTTTTGGCTTTAAATTTTCTCCCCAGAATTAATGGGAGAAAGGGAACATGGCCTTTTTCTCATTCACATCTACTTTTTATAAATCTGTAGCGATAACCTGGATAATAGTTCTTACAGCCCATAATAAGACTCCAGTGGTCTTATCTTCTGAATGGTGTGATATTGTGCCCCGAGTGTGTCCTTCATCAGCATTTCTGGATGTTGAAATTAACTGGTGTTATTATTTTAGAAGTCTGTTTTGTGACATATTTGATCAAAATACAGGACACAACTCAAGCAAGACAGGAACCTGGAATATCTATACACATTAATTAAAAAATAATAAAATGAGCACTGAGGAAACTGGAGCCAGAGGATCAAGAGTTCAACACCAACATTGACTACT